GGCCTCAAAACCCTGGACCCGAGAGAGCCAATTTCAAATTTCTAAAACTTGGACCCTAAACCCTGAATGCTAGACCCCAACTCAGAAACTCTGCATCCTAGTCCTAAACCCTACATCCGAAAACGTAAACCGTAAAAACCCTAAAACTCAAAAGCCCTGAAGGCCTTGACCAAAGAGTTGAGACTCTAACCACACTCTACTGTTACACTCTCCGAAATACCTGTGGGTTTGGGATCCAGGGTCTAGGGGTATAGGGCTTTATATCAAGATGATCAAAGTGCAATAGTACAAATTATTCAGGCTTCCTTAAATCTGTGTGAAGGTCGCTGGGCCGCGAGCAAGGTCTCTGCTGCTGTATTTGGCCCCAGCAGTCGCACCTGCTGCTGCTGATGTTGGGGTTGGAGGGAATCTAGGGGTCTAGGGTTAAGGAATTTATGGTTGTCAGCGCAGGGGTTAAGAGGATAGTTTGGGGCTGCGGTCGCGGTCCCCCGCTGGACTGAATCCATAAGGAAGCTATCTTGTCAGAGATATAGTGATGGGGCGAGGGGTGGGGACGGTAGCCAGTTTCGGAGTGTTTGGTGTCTCATTCGGGAAACACTCTTTTGTCCGACTTGGGTTGGCATTTGTTGCTGGCAAAGAGCCTCAATATACAAATCGGAGACTCGTGCAATGCGAAGAAGCAGAGGAGAAGAACACTAGGAATGCTCAGAACACACCAGCCAGAAGGCAGGGCATTTGCGCCGAACCGGAAGTTCAAACAAAAGCCTTACAACCATAGCCCTAAACCCTCAAGCCTCTAAATCCTAAACTCTGAACCCTAAAACCCCAAGTGCACCTGACAATGCCCTTCCCGAGACGCGCCTCCAAGTTCTCGAGCTGAGGTACGATGTCCCAGCTTTGGAAAGCCTCTGCGAAAGCCATTAGCTGAACTCGTATTGAGAAAGATCCCTAGAAAGGAACTGCTCAAGAGACGCGGCTCCAGAATATGAGATAGTTTACCATAAAACACTATGAGATGATATGCCGCAAACATACCGTGGCGTACTTTCGTGTAGTATTACTATTTGCTATACTATCATAATTATTGATGGTGCGCACGGGGGAAGCAGGATCTTTCAATCCGGGAATGCCTTGTCATTATCCCCTGTTAAACGATCTTCCGTTGAAACCTGAGCCAGAGCAATAGCTGAGACAACAAAAGAAGCCCGAATGTAGAACCTTTTTCGTTTCGATTGAGATTTATAGTATTTTGCACCGTATAATACTTGGATACGGAACACCAAGGAATAGCAGAAGTGTACTACATCGGTGGGAGGCACCTTAGGGAATAGCTTACGCTTCCGCATTGAACCCTAACCCTGGCAGCGGGGCCTTGGACGCCTTGATGATGCGATTCCCGTTGGAGTCCGAGTTGGCGCCTCGCTTGCACTGGAGCCCAGAGAGCCCAACACCCCTTAATTAGGGAATATGGCGTACATTATACAGGGCTTCATAGTATGATTTAAGCTATATTCCTTAATTAAGGGGTATTGGGCTTTCTGGCAGATTGGGGTGTCGATGTATGGGTTTTGTAGGGTTTTCAGCTGTCTTCATAGGGTTAGGATGTAGGGTGTATAGATGTGCATAGGCTTTGTTGGGTTTGTAGGTTTTAGAATAGCCATTGGCTTAACCCTAAGGGTCCATGTACCCAAATAGTATATACATTGGCCCCAATGTACCTATATAGGGACTACTTTAAGGCCAATGTACATGAACCCTTACGGTAAGAGTCTTTTAGGATCCAGGGGCTTCGACAAAGCTGCTGCGAGCTACGAGCAATGCGGCATGGCAGCATCCCGACTTCGCGAGCACTAAACCCCCAAACCCTAAACCCTTAAACTCCTAAGCCCTAAACCCTCAAACCCTAAACACTCTCTTTCATAGGTATGTTTCAACCTTATTACAATTCTGATCCATCTGGGCCCCAATGTTACTACAAGTCGGGTCAATGTTATTACCATTCCGGTCAATTTGGCCCCAATGCTATTCCAAATCCGGCCAATCCGGGCGCAGTGTTAGTACTATTCTAGTCAACAGGGCCCAATGTTCTTACGGGCCCACTGTTAGTACAATTCCGGCCAATCTGGGCCCAATGCCCTAAACCTTAGCCCTTTTACATTTGCTATAGTACTTCTCGATCCGGAGCTGCTGAACCCAAACTCCAAACTCTAAAACCCTAAACACTAAACCCTTTTCAGGTGTGGGCTGTAGACCGTGCACTGCCAGAAGTTGTCGGTCAAAGGAGGTGTCCTGAGCAAACGCGCAAAGCACTCGGTCTGTCGCCATGGACCATGCATTAGTAGCTAGAATAAGTTGGGGGTATATGATTCATTTTTGAGGAACCCCCAAACCCTATTCTACTTATTAAGGCCCTTACATTATCCAACTTCTGCTGCAATGTCAAGCACCGAGGGAAGCTGCGCAAGGCTGAACGAGTCAAAAGTTCTGCAGCGGTGGACACCGAGAGCTGGACTTCAGCGGGTTGTAGATGTCCAGCCCGAACTCAATGTAGTAGTCCTATAGCACAAGTCGCAGGCATTTGATTTTGAGCGGGGCGAGGGTGGGTGGGGGTGGCAGCGGGAAAGTGTTGTCCCGCACTGTCGAAGGCGGGGAACTTTCGGGGGACGTGTGTGTGTGTGTGTGTGTGTGTGTAACACATAGTATTAACATCAGTAGCAATAAGGATGACAATCACGATAATACTGATGACCGTAGTAATAATAAGAAGAATACCAATAGTATTCATCTTCATCAACAATACTATACACTGGTCATATTGACGACATGAGTAGTGATATGTCACCGCATCGCACCGAGGCCCTTGGTCCGGGTCCCCAAACCCCCAAACCCTCTTAGCCCGTCAAGTCTACGGTTAAGCCTCTCGACCTGATACCTTTCTGGACCCGAGCAGCTTTTGTAAAACAACTGAAATGCTGAACAGCCGGCTTGACGATATGCGAGTTGTTTGGGGCTTTGAGTCTAGAGCTTTGCCCCGCGGTGCACATTAAGTCCGAGCAGAGTCGAACTAGTGCGGCAAGGGCACACGAGATGGACCTGTCGGCATTATTTTTGCACTGTGGGTCTTGGAACCATCGTAAACACAGTAATTATTTCCAAAACTCTGGTGGGTTTTATGTGAACAAATCTAAAAATTGATACTTAAGGGAACTGTCGTTTTGTGCAGACATCCTCGCACATATCGCTGCTGTAAATTTAAGCACATATCCCTCCACTCGTGCATTCGGACCTTCCCTCTGATTTTACAACCAACCTCACGCCCCTCCCCCTATATGAAGCTGTAGACCTGGAAAGCCGCAAGAAGCCTATAGACTTCAAACCCTGAACACTCAGCCGCAGAGCCCAAAACTCCAGAGACAGCTGAGCCCCCTGTCTCGCTCCACCGGTGTAGGTTCTCGGATGTAGATCGCGATGGCCGATGCATTGCACCTCAATGCAGTAAAGGTTCGGGGGTTCTGGTGAATCAATCACAGGGGCCTGGACAACTACAACAGGATATTTAGATGTTTTGAAGGGAGCGGTATATCATGCGTAGTATAACTATGTGTCGGAGGGACTATAGGAGAGGGTGTTGGGGTATAGTAAAGCACCATGTAGTTAGGGCCGATAAAGGGGGTGATATTGAATCAGGAGTCGCTGGCTTTTCGCTCCTGGATTGGATTTTGAGGTCGAAGGGGTTTGGGGTATAAGCGAACCGATAACTGTAATATGTATGTTATGCTGCATATCTGCTGTATTTATAAGGGAACTAATAAGGGAACAGCATATTCATCCAATTTCGGGCTCAATGTGCGGGAAAACGGCCTGTCTCTTTTGCAATACAACCCATGATGCGCATCAACTGATGCCGGTCGTGATCTCATGGAGATACTCGATTGACAGGCAAATGAATCTGTGTATGTCTACGCATTTCAGCCACCAGATCATGCAACGCCGGATGTCACTGCCCCAGCAGCTGCAAAAACTCTGCCGCTTCACCAAAGGCCTTGTGATAGTGAAACTTTCTCTTGCTCGGTCTAACAGCCTCAGCCTCCTCCAGCTCCATGCAGAGAAACTGCCTCTGCACTTGCGGTGACCAGCTCCTTTGCAATCCCGGGATATCGTTGTCTCAGCTTTTGCAAGAATTCTGCCACATCGGCTTAAACCAAATCACGGCGAGTGTTCTCTTCGTTCTTTAACTTCTCTCGGAGCTCTTCCACTGCTGTCTGCTCCTCGGAGGCTTTGCGCTGAGCCGCCTCCAGCTCCGTGCGTAGTTCCTGCAAGATGTGTCCTTCCTCTCTCGCCGAATTCTGATTGTCACGGGCATTCACCTGGATGCGGGCATGCTCGAGGAAAGCTGCTAACAATTCTTTCTCTCAGTCGTGTGCCTTGCACACATCGAACTCTACATTCTCCGATGCCTTGTTCTCCTTCGGGTGCCACTTTTTTTGGTGCCGCAGTGATGAGGCCTTCTCCAGCTGGGCGCGAAGCCGTTCAATTTCAATGTACTGGATGTCCAGTTCATCCTGCATACTCCTCTGCTGTCTCTGCTGTTTCGTCTTTAGCTCCTTTAGTTGAGCCTTCAACTCTTCAACTAATCTTTGCTCATGCGCAAGCATGCACCTGGTTTCCTCCAGCACAGACTGCAGTTGCTCCACTTCATCTTGCAGCTGGTTCTTACTTCTTTCCTCATCAGCACGGGGCTTGCTTGGCTCACACAGCCGACTTGCCGCGCTGGCAATCTGTGTCCACACAACGGCCATGGGCATCGCCGCAAGGGTGGAGACAAAACAGTCTTGGACCCTTGTGGCCTTGGAGCCAGAGATGCGATGTTCAGAGCCCCACAGGTCTTGCCGACAAACCGGGCGATTTGGATTAGGGATTGGACATAAGCTTCGTGAAGGCTTGAAGCCCAAAGGGCCTGCTATGGGCGTGTCTGCTTGGGGTCCGTAGGTTTGCGGTGGTTCTCGGATACAACTTTCTCCAGACTATAGAACCTCGTCCTACATCCATGACGCGCTGTCAGAGCACACGCCTGAGGCCTTCACAACTACAACAGGACATGTGATGTAGGGCGGTATAGCATACGCAGTTTGTACAACTAATGTAGGAGGGACTGTAAGAAAGGGAAATGGGGTATAGGGCGTGATAGTACCGTGAGTTGAGAGTTTCTGGCTTTTCACCACCGGTCTGAATTTTGAGGTCGGGGGGTTTGATTTGGGCTACTATATTCTTATAAGTTATAAGGGAACCTAAAACTGTAATACAAATGTTATGCTGTACTTGTAGGCGAGCGGCGAGCTATACGGCAAATTACGGGAATAGCATGTTAATCCAATTTCGGGTTCAATGTGCGGGAAAACGGCCTGTCTCTTCTGCAATACAACCCATGATGCGCATCAACTGATGCCGGTCGTGATCTCTTGGAGATACTCGATTGACAGGCAAAGGAATCTGTGTATGTCTACCACCAGATCATGCAACGCCGGATGTCACTGCCCCAGCAGCTGCAAAAACTCTGCCGCTTCACCAAAGGCCTTGTGATAGTGAAACTTTCTCTTGCTCGGTCTAACAGCCTCAGCCTCCTCCAGCTCCATGCAGAGAAACTGCCTCTGCACTTGCGGTGACCAGCTCCTTTGCAACCCCGGGATATCGTTGTCTCAGCTTTTGCAAGAATTCTGCCACATCGGCTTAAACCAACTCACGGCGAGTGTTCTCTTCGTTTTTTAACTTCTCTCGGAGCTCTTCCACTGCTCTCTGCTCCTCAGAGGCTTTGCGCTGAGCCGCCTCCAGCTCCGTGCGTAGTTCCTGCAAGATGTGTCCTTCCTCTCTCGCCGAATTCTGATTGTCACGGGCATTCATCTGGATGCGAGCATGCTCGAGGAGAGCTGCTAACAATTCTTTCTCGCTGTCGTGTGCCTTGCACACATCGAACTCTACATTCTCCGATGCCTTGTTATTGTTCTCCTGCAGTTCTCCTTCGGGTGCGGTTTTCTTCTGGTGCCGCAGTGATCAAGCCTTCTCCAGCTGCGCGCGAAGCCGTTCAATTTCAATGTACGTCCAGCTCATCCTGCATACTCCTCAGCTGTCTCTGCTGTTTCGTCTTTAGCTCCTTTAGTTGAGCCTTCAACTCTTCAACTAATCTTTGCTCATGCGCAAGCATGCACCTGGTTTCCTCCAGCACAGACTGCAGTTGCTCCACTTCATCTTGCAGCTGGTTCTTACTTCTTTCCTCATCAGCACGGGGCTTGCTTGGCTCACACAGCCGACTTGCCGCGCTGGCAATCTGTGTCCACACAACGGCCATGGGCATCGCCGCAAGGGTGGAGACAAAACAGTCTTGGACCCTTGTGGCCTTGGAGCCAGAGATGCGATGTTCAGAGCCCCACAGGTCTTGCCGACAAACCGGGCGATTTGGATTAGGGATTGGACATAAGCTTCGTGAAGGCTTGAAGCCCAAAGGGCCTGCTATGGGCGTGTCTGCTTGGGGTCCGTAGGTTTGCGGTGGTTCTCGGATACAACTTTCTCCAGACTATAGAACCTCGTCCTACAGGCTTCGCCATCACCAGCTGTCAGAACTAAGGCACACGACGGTTGATGCTCGAAGCACCGCATTCCGTTTATCATCCGTACATAGCCAAAGGCCCTACCAGAAGCGACAGTGTTCTCTCAAACTTAGGTCCAAGTCGCAATCTCCTTCTCTCTCCCTCTATCTGTGTATATATATATATATATGCATAAATATGCATATATATATATATTTGTTTATTTATCTATTTATATATGTATGTCTCTCTGTCTCTCTCTGTCTCTCTCTCTCTCTCTCTCTCTCTCGTGGGCCGTTCTTCCATCTGAGTCGGCCGCATGATAATGGAGTTGGGCAGCGGCGTGAAGGTGGCCACCGGGATGTCTGCGGTGGGCGGGGGGCGAGGCTGAGAGCAGATCACAGGATTATAGGGTTTAGGGTTTATAGGGTTTAGGGGTTTATAGGGTTTAGGGTTTTATGGGGTTTGTAGGGATTGCTGGATTTATAGGGTTTAGGGTTGATGGGGTTTATAGGGTTTACAGGGTTTAGGGTTTTTAGGGTTTAGAGGTTTATAGGGCTCAATGGCTTATAGGGCTTAGGGTTTATAGGGTATGTACAGGATTTATAGGGCTCATAGGGTTTAGGGTTGATGGGGTTTATAGGGTTTACAGGGTTTCCAGGGTTTAGGGTTTACAGGGTTTATAGGGTTGATAGGGTTGATAGGGCTTACAGGGTTTAGGGCTTATAGGGTTTACTGGGTTTAGGGCTTATAGGGCTTACTGGGTTTAGGGTTTTATAGGGTTTATAGGGTTTACAGGGCTTATAGGGTTTACAGGGTTTATTGGTTTGATAGGGTTTATAGGGCTTAGGGCTTATAGGGCTTATAGAGTTTATTGGGTTCAGGGTTTGAAAGGGTTTAACAAGGCTTACAGGGTTTATTGGGTTGATATTGTTTATAGAGCCTAGGGTTTATAGGGTTTAGGGCCCATAGGGTGTATTGGGGTTAGGGTTTTATAGGGTTTATAAGGTTTACTGGGTTTAGGGCTTATAGGGTTTAGGGCTGATAGAGTTTATAGGGTGTAGGGTTGATAGGGTTTAGGGTTGGTAGGGCTTATAGGGTTGATTGGGTTTTCAGGATTTAGGGTTTAGGATTTATAGGGTTATGTGCTTTGGGGCTTATAAGGCTTATAGTTCACTTCAGTGCTGTTGGCTTCAGATATTGAATGCTTACGATCGCTTTTTCGGGTTTTGGCAACTCAGCGTCGGCCCTCCTACTGTGGCAAAGTCCTTGTCACTCACTCTCTCTTACAACGACAGAAATGTTTCCTTGATACATGCTGAACCCTGATGTAGCGCCAATGAGAATCGAATATTCTGGAACAGCGAGTAACGCCTTACCATAAACCCCTAAACCCTAAACTCCAGACCCTATAATATGCTATACCCCCTTAGAACCACAGTAAACGTAATGTGTTGAATATTCTCTTGCGTCTTATATAAAAAAACCAAAAAACAATTCCTAAGGAGACTATAATAACCCCAAACCCTAAACCCAGTATGAGCGCTGTGGAAACCCACCTGCAGTCGGATCAATCCAGCGAAAGCCCCGGCATCTCCTCCAGTAGTAGGAGTTAGGAGATGCCGGGACCCTTGGGGACATAGTAAGGTGCCTTCAAAGGCTTCCCTTAAAGGATCCTTATAAAGGGATCTATGAGGATTCCTTAATCGGGTGCTGTAGGATTGGGAGTTAGGATCCCCTAGGAGGCTTCCACCGAACAAGCACAGACAGTCGAAAGTACAGAGGTAGGGGCCAACATAAGTAGAATGGCTTCGAATGGGGTTTTGGGGTTTTTTAATTGTGAAGTAACGTACTACAGGAACAAGATGGGACCTCCACAAGGATAATGCTCCTTTCCTAGCAATTTGTCTCGACGTTTAACAAGGTTCTTTCCCATGTGCGAGAGAGGAGCCCGGGGGTCTCATCGATGTTTAGACATGATGTCGGGGTTTGGAAGCATGTTGGGGATTTAGGTTCACCAGTTTGCCAGGCAAAATGAGCATAGCTGGAGTAATGCTACATCATCACAGCACTAACAAATGCAATGACATATCTGAGCAACACACTCTCAGAAACAAGGTAAACACGTGGAAACATGCAGGAGGAGGAGTTAGACACCCGCGCAATAATGCATAGCACATGGCACTACACATAGCTACGGTCCCAGGAGAATGATTTAAATCACTCGCCTCGTGTGAACTTGTCTGCTTGTCGAAATGAATCCATGCATACACGCTGCGCACAGAGCCGCAGAAACGGACAGACGGACTGACAAACAGAGAAAGGGAGAGAGTTTGGCGTGTTTTTGTGTGTGTGTGTGGTCTCTGATGGCATGCATGCATGGATGGAAGGATGGATGGGTGTGTGCATGTGCGCGTGCGCGTGCGCGTGCGCGTGCGTGTGGGTGTGGGTGTGGGTGTGGGTGTGGGCGTGGGCGTGGGCGTGGGTGTGTTTTTGTGTGTGTGTGTGTGTGAGTTGTGTGAGAGTGTGTGTGTGTGTGTGTGTGCCTGTGTGTGTCTGTGTGTTTTTGTCTGTGTGTGTGTGTGTGTGTGTGTGTGTTTGGACGCGACTTGCATACCTGCCTGTGCACAAGACGGCGCGTTCGGGCACATGGGTGACAGTTGTAACACCGTCCGGGCTTTAACAGCCGTCTCGTCTTGCCCACACAGAACTGAAAACGGAAGTCAGCGGTGAGGGAAACGATCGGGCGCCGGATTAGGCAAGCCTGCATCCAACAACACTTCATCTTGGGATTGTTCCGTGTTCAGGCAACAACTAGTATAGTGTTGTATAGTATCGGCTGTGCTGATGGCTTTCTTGAAGAGCCTTGACTTTGCCTCCTGTAGAAAACCCTCCTCGCCCCCTCTCCCCATGGGCAGATCTCATGGCACCGGTCCCCTGGGTATCTATGAGGTAGAAGTCGGATGGGGAGATGATGTGAATCTCATCACCGAACTCCTTGGCGGCCAAGGCGACATGCACACCTCGATGCTGGGACATTCGGAGACAACTCAGTCATCGGCCAAGGTCGTTGGCGATCGTAGCCGAAGCGAAAAGGCCTGGATGTCGGCCAGAAATTTAGGATGTAATATAGGGGCCTTATAATTCGAATAGGGTCTTGGGGCTCATGATACTATAATTATGGTAAGGGTCTCCCCGAAATAGCATATATATATATATATATATATTGGTGATTTTAGAGGCCCCTATAGTAAGGTTTAGGAGCCAAGGCGTGGTCAGCGACTTCATGGAAAATTTGGGCTTGTCCGATGTTCTGAGCTCTTCGGAGAGTCTGAAGAGTCCAGCTATGTATGGTAGATTCAGGGCTTACCTATAGTCTCCATTGTAGTTCCTTTCTTTGGCTTAACCACTTATATTTTAAGGATCCTATAAGGTAACCCCAAAAAGGAACTACGATAGAGACTGTAGGTAGGCTCGACTCCATCATCTGTCCAGACATTCCGGTGAATCTCCCAAAAGTCTGCTGGATGCTAAGCCTCGTCGGCAGGCAGCTGACTGAGCCCGAAACCGGCAATCGCGCAGCACCATTCCGGACCTTTTCCAAACTGTGTCGGTGTTGATAACCAAAAGAAAACGTGATGACAATGACATGGACAACACGAGTGTAGTGTCGTAGACTTGGTCGCCTGCGTGCGCTTGCTTCAAACCAGGCTCATGACTTGCTTCATTTGATAGTGTAGCTCTTGGCGGCATGCCCATAACATTTTGCAACATGCAGCAACTAAACAGAAACACACCCTACCTATGCCTTAATCCGTAACCAGCGACATGATCTGCAACCGACCCTTCCCCCATCGTCCGTCTGGCCTCCTGTGTTGGGTCAGCTGGGTCCGGATTCGAATAGTACCACTCGTTCATGACCTGCGAAGCGAGCCCCCAGACTTCAAATCCCAAGCCCAATGTGTCAGTCTGCTCCGTCGGATGTAGTCTCCTGCGGTGGCTATCGCATCGTAACAAATGCACAGGAAGGCTGGAGCCTTCAAGTGGGCTGTGCAAAGTTGCTCAGCAGCCATCATTATGATCATACCGGAGAGACGATGAAACATCTGCATAGCAGCTGCTGCAGCAGCGTCGTCGTCGTCGATGTAGTAGCAATCGTAGTTGTTGTATTGTAGTCGTACGTAGTCGTAGTCGTAGTCGTCGTCGTAGTCGTCGTCGTAGTCGTCGTAGTAGTCGTCGTAGCTGTCGTAGCCGTAGTCGTCGTAGTCGTCGTCGTAGAAGTATAGTAGTAGTAATGGTAATAACAGTAGTACTAGCAGCAGGAGTAGCAGTAGCAGTAGCAGCCTCATTGAGACGGAATCCTTCGATGTGCGACGAGTCCAGCGACTGGCCATCGGCCTGGGCAAGTAGGGCTTCGGATTTTCGGTTAGGGTTTAGGGTTCAAGTTGCAAGGTTCGAAAAGCAGCGCAGCAGGAGTTGTTGTTGTTGTTGCTGCTGCTGCTGCTGCCGTCGCCGTGAGACCATCCATATCGCGAATAGGATCATCATCATCGGTAGCAGCATAGTATGTACAAGCTACAAACACGGTTGGCTTCACACAGACGATTCCTCTTGAAGGCTGGTTAGCTGCCGAGGTTTCGAGAGCTAACGCCTCGCGAGAACGCGCAGTGAGGCGTCGAACTGCAACCCTGGGACCCAAGAAGATCCCATGCTCGCAGCGGGCATTTTGCGTTGCGAGCCACTTGCCAGCTGACACTTGCCAGATGACTCTGAAGACTCAGCGAGACACTGCAATAACACCAGAGATGGCCAGTCTGTGAACAGAGGACTAATGCCGAGTCTTTCTACTCCATAGATTTGAGGGGAAGAGACATGCCATTCTCTTGGTGCATTCTTCGTGCTCAGTGACTATCGTTTCTGGAGCCCAGGGCTCCTGAACAATTATGAATACATTTTCCTGGAGGGGCACAAAGGGGATCTACGTGCCTTCTCAGAGCTTCAGCTCGATGGCCACTCTCCCCCCGAGCCCTCCGAAACATCTTTGCCCTTGGCCTGGCGACTTTCACTACATTCTAGCACCCCTACGACTCCGAACTGCTAGGTCCCGAAACCTGCGAAGGTCTTGCTCCTAAAACACGCTGTATCCTGTAGTCTAAAGTCTAACCCTGCAGTCTAAAGCCTAAACCCCAGCCGTTAAGGCTGGCTAGATGGCTTTCAACACTACAAACGAGCGACATCTCGTTAGCCCAATCAAGCCCTGATTGCATCAGAACTAGTCTTCAACTTTTGGACCATGTTCTGGGGGCTTAGGGATTAGGGTTTTGGGGTTTAAGCTTTTGTAGCAGTGACCGCTGTGCTCTTCAGCTCACGGCATCTATCGCAAATGCAGCGGATGTTCTTTACGACTAGCAGGAAAACTATAAATGGTGTTCTTTTACTAAAGCTTGCTGTTAGGTTTGCGGTTCCCGACAACCCTTACAGCGCCACAAGCCATTCCTCCACCGATTTTGTCTCGGTCCTTTGGGCACCCCGGTGGCTCTGGTGGACGCCGGGTGCTGCAGGACTGGCAGGGCGCTTGCACGCACCGAGCGGCGTTGAGGTACCAGTTGCTTCCCCGATATAGGCTCATCACAGAGCCGGGGGTATCGGGCTTTTCGGGCTGGGATTCAAGGGAGAGAGGATACAGGCAGAGGTATGATTGTAGACGCTTGCAGGTTCATTAGTTGGCCGCGTTCCAAGTACTTGTAGCTCGGTTGAGGCTGCACGCTGCGCGAATTCCGTACATAAGCGTCTCCCAGCTGCTCGAGCACTTCCAAGGTGCAGGAAGTGCAGGGCACTGGGACTTCGGCAGACTTCCCAAAACCCTTGAGGGTCATGACAGGCCACCACTGCTGGGCGACCTACCACCAAAGCGCATGCGACAGGGAGCTCTCTGCAAACTGCCGCTGCAGCGATAGGGGTCGAATGATGCAAGATGCACCAAGCTAAAAGGGTGGAATGCTGCCAGGCGACGTGGTCTTGCACGGCGACCCCTTTCGCCGACCCACTTTAAAAAGGGTCCATGTCCGTTCTGCGCCGTTGCAGCCTCTGCAGCAAATCAAACCTGGCTTTCCCATCTTTGACACCTGCTACATGCCCCAAGCTGCCCTAAGCCCAAACGACCGTTGAAACCGAAGGTGGGGCAGGTTGATAACGACTGGTTGTTGTGTCTGTAAGTACGGCTTCTGCTTGCCCAGCACGATTTAGGATTCATAGGGTTTGGGGTTTACAGACACTTGCGAAATTACAGTCCGGGCATGTGCCGTCTGCATTGAACTGGTGGTGATCGAGTTGTGCCCTTCAGGAGTTACATGGAGTCACCTGCCCGCAAGCTCTCTTGCCTCCAAGGTTGTGCTTCGGTGGTGTCGAGATCCAACTACTCCCCCAACAGCCACAATGCATGCAGCAGCGCAGCAAGAAAACACTTGACTAAGTCAAGGCCTCCGAACATGTCATGTGCCGCGACGCCAATTCAGTGAAGAGTTTTGGCTTGTGCTTCTCGGGTCCCTGGCATACCCCCCCTGAACAAAATCTCTAACTTCAAGCTATTTTAGTCTCTAACCCCTAATCCGGCACATGGCTCAGCCATCGGTGCCATCTGTCTCGTCGCTGGGCACTCCCTTGAAGGCCGATTCGCTACCCATCCTTTGGAGTAGGTTCGGCATGGCCTGTGCTCAGGGCAGATGTGCAAACCCCACACTGCGCGACCCTAAATGCCGCGCTGAAACTCAAAGGTCCTACATCCTACGGTCCTACGAATCCTAAAAACCGGCAACAGCGTTGTGGTCCTAAACCCTAAACGCCATAAAGACCTTCACCGTAAAAGCCCTCAAAGCACAAAAAGCCCTAAGCTCCGGGACAGACCCCCGCGAACCCTCCCCTCCCCCTCCCCTGCCCTAAACCCGAGAACCCCAAAACCAGAAAACCTAAACCCCCCTAAACACCCCCCTAACCCCCCCCCCCCCCCTAGGGCCCTAAACACCCAAACCCCTGAACCGAAAACCAACCGAAAACGCCTATAAACCCTAAACCCCCGCCCGTTCCCCGGCCCCCTCTACTTGGAGGCTCAGGGCTAGTTATAAGTAGGATTATAAGTATGGGCTATAAGTATAGTTACCCTGCTTATAACCCTACTTATAACTACCCATGAACCTCCAAGTAGCGAAGCCAAACTGCAAGCCAGACAACAACACAAGAAACAGCCTGGCACCCTCGCTCCCCCACCCCAACCCCTGCACCATGAACCTCCAACTAAGTCCCTAAACCCTATACCCTTATGGAATCCCTATAGACCCCTTTAAAGGGACCCTTGAAGGAGCCCTACTTATAACTACCCATGAACCTCCAAGTATGGCCCTAAATCCGGAAGCTCGGCCTCGTTGTTCTGAGCTCGGAGTCGAGCCTTGGAGCTGGGGAAGAAGGGCATTTAAGGGGTGTTAAAGCTTTGGGGCTTTTGGGGTTTTGGGTTTTGGGGTGTAGGGTTTAGGGCTTTGGAGTTTTTGGGGTTTTGGGGTGAAGGATTTCGGGCGTTAGGGGTTTAGGGTTTTAGGGTGCTTAGGGTTTAGGGTTTTGGGCTTTAGGGGTTTAACGTCTTGGGGTTAAGGGGTTTGGGGCTTAGGGGTTTTGGGGCTTAGGGCTTTAGGGGTTTAAAGTTTTGGGGTTAGGGTGGTGCAGGCTTTAGGGTTTATAAAGCTTTAGGGGTGAAAAGTTTAGGGTTTGGGGTTTAGGGGTTTTGGGGTTTAGGGCTTTAGGGGTTTAAAGTTTTGGGGTTAAGGGGGTGTAGGCTTTAGGGCTTAGGGCTTTAGGAGTGAAAATGTTGGTGGTTTAGGAGTTTAAGGGTGTAGGTTTTTTTTGGGTACTAGGGGTGAAAAGTCTTGGGGTCTTGGGGTGTAGGGTTTAGGGTTCTGGCTTTAAGCGTTTAAAGTCTTGGGGTTACGGGGTTTGGGGTTTAGGGTTTAGGGCTTTAGGGGTGAACAGTTTTGTGGTTTTGGGGTGTAGGGCTTAGGGTTGCGAGTTTTGGGGTTTAGGGTTTTGGGGGTGTAGGGCTTAGGGTTTTGGGCTTTAGGGGTTTAAGTCTTGGGGTTTTTGGTGTGTAAGTAGGGTTTAGGGTTTTGGGGTTTGGGGTTTTGGGTTCAGGGGTTTAAACTGTTGGGGTTTAAGGGTTTAGTTTTTGTTTGGGTTTACGGGTGTAGGGTGTTGAGGCGATGAGAGGTTCAGGGCGGTTACAGATGGTCTGGGGCCCGGATTTCTGATTTCTCTGACTCTTGATATTGAGTTGTGCTGTCGAGGATCTAAGATGTATTAATATGAGTCAATGCTACTGACACTTCTGTGGCATTGTTGCCATCACTACTACGACGACGATATCTAGCACTACCACTACCACCAAAACTACCCCACCACTACCACGGCCAGTACCACTGCGACAACGACGATTGCTGCCACTACTACTCCTGTTGCTACTACTACTACTACTACTGCTGCTGCTACTACTACTACTACTACTACTACTACTACTACTACTACTACTACTACTACCCACCACAACTACCACATGAACCTGTGCATGCCGGTGGCATCAGGCCGCAGAAGCCTCCAGCGGCGTTTATGCTCATGAGCTGACCCATCTCTCCACCCCAAGTCTTAACAACTCTACGAGTACATCGCTGTCTGTCAAAGGGAACTCTCGGTGTGTGGTTTATGTTACGGAGCAACCTTAAGAAGCCCTGATATGAATACCGAGAAGGCACGAGCCAAGAATCTTAAGCCAAGGTCGCTCCCATGCAGCGGAGGGGCGAGGGTGTCCGTCTCGGCCAGCTTTCGCTTGCTCTCCGACAGCTCTTCACGGAGCTTGATGCCTTGGTCCATGAGCCTCAGTTGCTTGCGAGTGCAATGGGTGGAGAGGCTGGCGAGGATGTGTGATTTCGGGTGCAACCTTGCGTGAAGTTGATGCTGTTCGTCGCAGGGAGGTAACCCATGTGGCATCACATTCGGCTGACATGGCTCTGCACTGCAGAAGCAAGCCGATTTCGCTCATGCCTGCGGCTACTTGCGCCGTCGTGAGCAACGAGCCCTGCTCCTCCTCCTCCTCCTCCTCCTCCTCCTCCTGCTGCCTGCCTGTGTGCGTGTGTTGTGCTTGCTTGCTTGCCTGATTGCAGACCACAATAGTCACAGCAGAATCGCCCGCAGTACCATTGATGTCTTAGTGAGGAATAATCGTAGACTAGTCTATTCTCCTCTCACCACGATCGCAAAGCCGATGCAACTTGGTGCATAGATCACCACAACCGGGAGCATTGTCTCTTTCTTCTTCCGCTTGGCGACAGTCAACCTGGTATATTGCTTTCATCTTTATCATCGGCTTCACCGCTATCACCAACACCAACATCCCCGCCAATTTTCAATCCTGGCATGAGAGTGTCCCTGCGCTCATGGTTGGCGCACGGATGCAACAGTGTCTGCCACTGTGACTGTTCCGCTTCCGGCCAATCTTCTCAGGATACACACGAGACACAGAGTCAGTGTAGCGCGTGTGTGTGTCTATATATATATATATATATATATATACAGTTCCACATACGTGATATACCTGGGAAAGTGTACACATAAAGCCGTATCATCTAAGGTCCCGGCGCTTGGTTTCGCTCGCCCAGTGTATCGAGCATCTGTGCCTGGATCAGAGTGTTAACAGGCGATCCAATCAAGGTCATAGGCCCCAAAGAGTCCAAGTATCATTATGGTATATACTTAGACCCCCAAAGTACCCTATAAGTATATACCATAATGGTACTTGGACCCTTTGGGGGCTAAGTTCCCCAACTCCCCTTGCATAATGAGGCGACGCTTTGTCCTGCTATCCAGTGGAAATCAGGAAGCCCTGAAATAGAGAGGGAAACAGGGTACTGCAGGGGAACCTGGCACATAGATGATGCCTTTACATCTCGTGAGGGGTAGCCTCTGTTGTGCACGGTGCTCGCGTCTGGAGCCTCTAAGTTCGGCAGCAGCATCTCGGGTTAAGATTTCTTGGGTTTTCACAATCTCACAAACTGTTGAGACATTCCGATGTGAGCATAATGATCCGCCTGTTCGTCAATCTTCTCCTCCAGCTCCTCGCGGAGGTCGTTGAGCTGGTCTGTGAGATTCACATAGCCTTGGGCAACAGCTCGGATGAAGGTCGAGGACCCTCTGTTCCCGGATGGAATGCTTCAGACTTCACCCCGCACCCCCCACCCGCGCCACACGGCAGAAACAAAACCACGTTGTAGATCGTATAAACCCTACAGGTAAACCAAGAACAGACGAGGGTCCTTGGTTCGTGTCCATGAGCTGCTCTTCCTGGCATCAGCAGCGTGGGACTCGCTATGTAATTTGATTGAGCGCGGGAGCAAGCCAGAGAGAGAGAAGAGCAAGAGGGAGAGGGAGACGCAGAGGCAGATAGGGAGGAAGGATAAACAATCAACCAACAGACACACTTAAACCTTACTCCCTAAATCTAAGTCTTGTTGGGACTGTGTCGCCGGTTGCATTGTCCAACAGCCTTCTCGTTCAGCAGCTCGAAAAGCTCTTCTTCTCTGGCCCTCGCGACGTCGCGCTCCTCGACACAGGGCCCTTTGAACAGAAAGTCAAGGGCTTGCGGAGGGTGTGAGGAAGGATCTGAAACTGAGAGGATATCTTGCTTGCCCGTGGCTTGTGTCGCTTATTATGCCGCACATAGTTGCTTCCTGCCCAATTTGCAAATTCTGGGGACCAAAACGCAAGATGTCTGAACAGTCACGGACGAAAACCAGGATTGACTATGGGTCCCGTGTGCGCGTGCGTGTGTGTGTGTGTGTGTGTGTGTGCGTGTGCGTGGGTGTGTGTGTGTGTGTGTGTGTGTGTGTGTCTGTCTGTCTTTGTGTGACGCCAACCCCCCTGTGAGTAGCTTCATAATCACAACAAAACACAGCCGATCCCAGTACCTATCTTCACAAGACCGGAAACTGTCGGTTCAAACCCTAAACCCTAAACCGGAAGTTCCGAGGATGGGACAAGATGGGGTGGACGAAACTCTGTGGCTCCGACTGCAGGAACTGAGAGGTGTGGGCGAATGCCAACAACAGTACTGACACTGCTGGTAACAGCAGTTATCATGATGATGGTGGTGGTGGTTATGATGATAATGAGGACGATGATCAACATGATGATGAGGATGAAGAAGAACATGATGATGATGCAACACTGATGGGACGATATAGGCTATTGGCTATTGCTTCCTGTTTCCTCCACAGCTGTCTTTAACCAACTGACCCTGACTGCAGCGCTCGCATCCAATCCCGAAAATCCGAATTATCCAGACACGACATTCTTCCTCACAGGCTACAGTCCATCCAAGATCCTGCCTGCAGCCTAAGCCCTATAAAGCTTATAAACCTGCCCTAAACCCTGAGCCTTAAACCCTAAACCCCATGCAAACCCTAAGTGCTGGCCCTTTCCGTTACTCTGGAGTTCCTCGGCAAATCCCCAAAATCCACCAGAAACCTGTGGAATAAGAGACCGTCAGCGCCTTATGTGGGCCCTATTGTAGGAGCCTAACTATAAAGTAAGTCATCCAATAAAGGACCCTACATGTAACTTACCTTTGGATAGTAGGGAATGGAAGAATGGGGTACATTTATAACTGCTATTGCTACCGTTCTTCCATTCCCTACTAACCAAAGGTAAGTTTAAGGGTCTATAGGTATAACCCTTCGCATAGCCAGCAACCCTCCTCCGTCAGGACCCCCAGCTGCTGTTGCAAGTCCTGCCGTGCTGAGATGTGCATGCCTCAAAAGGGACAGGCTTCGGCTCTGTTCTCTTAAAGGGGGTCTATAAGGATTACTATAAGGGATATTATGGGGGTTTAGTATACGGGCCTTAATACTTACCTACCAACCAACTCGTGCGTTTGCAGTTTCGGGCACAGGTCCTCCACGGTGCCCTGCGTCTCTTCCTGCTTGTCCTGCGGAGATGTCGCATCGGGGTGATTGTCCCTAACCTCAGCCCGAAGTACGCGAGACTCAGTTGGCAGCCCATGCTAGCATCCCAAGGATCCCGAAACATCCTGCCTCAGGATGATGGGCAGTGCCTCGTGATATAGAACCTACGCGAACCCTAAGGGTCCATGTGCCTAAATAGTATAGTATATACATTGGCCTTAAAGTCGTCCCTATATGGGCCAATGTATATAGTATTTGGGTACATGGACCCTTAGGGTATTCTCACCAATCACAAGAGCTGGGCTCCTCCAACTCTTTGATGCGGACGTTGGCTCCCGAGTGGTTCTCTGCGGAAGCATTGAGCTTCTCCTCCAGTGACTTCACCTGCCAAGGTGTGACGGCGATGAGGGCAAGCAGGCGGGTGAGGCGTCAAGACGTTCCGTGATTCGCGGAATATATCAGGGAAGGCTGGTGCCAACGAGCCAAAGGTCTGAGGCTGCGAACTAAGATGGCGTGCATGGAACAACTCTATGGATCTGCTGCTCAAGACTCCCAACCAGGTTGCCGAACCATTTCAGGTTGGAACTGACTTTGAGCTTCGGTTTTGTTTTCATCGAAATCCGTGCGTAAGCTTGTGTGTGTGAGTCCCGCTCCATCGGCATGTGTAAGGCGTGATATGTTCAATCTATCAGACACACACCTGCCGAATGAGCACACGCAATAATTGTGTTGCTATTCGCAGCCTGTTTCGAGGCTTTTGAGTCCTGACTATATCCCGATCCCACTCGCACCGCTCAAAGCCATCTGCCATGGCCTGAACATCTGCCCGTTCACGATCGACCTGGTTGGGCCAGGGGTTTAAGGTTTATGGGACATGGTCCTTGTTGAGATCAAGACGGGGATGTTTAGGGTTCGCAGAGTTGCTGAGCCAGGTGTTCAGCCGTGAAGATTCACACGCCTCTTGGTGTGGGCATTCTACACCTTCAACTGAGTTCTCGTTATTACAGGACTCAATTTAAGGTAGCATCATTATACAGAGAGCCTTAGTGCCGTAGTGATTAGATGCAGTATGTAAATACATATATGCGTATTTATGTATATATGTCGGTACATAGGTTAGATAGGCAGGCAGGTATGTAGGTAGGTATGTAGGCATGTTTGTATGCCTGTATATCTGTATGTATGTAGGGCCCTTTCATTGGTATAAAGCAGACCATAAGCTCCTGAGCAAGCGTCAATCCTACACAGCTGCCTTTCCCAACAGCCTCCTAAGCCCCTAAATCCTACTGTAAGCCTGAAGTCGCTCGCACAGGTCGCTGGAGTGTTTCAGACGAGTTCGCCGAAGGCACATGTGATCGAGCCCTGCGAAAAGGCCTGTGCGCCTTTGCTTTCTTAGGGTTTTAGAAGGGTCCTTAGCTACCAGTGGCAGCTGTAGGCCCTCTTAGAAGCTGTCACTGGTAGCGGAGCCTCTCGCTCCATGGCCAGTCCTGATGGTGCGGACCCGTGGTCCACTTCAGACCCTTGGGGCGGTGGCAATCAAGCTGATGCTGCTGCCGAGCCTGAACGCGAAGCTGCGCGACCTACTCCTGCTACTGATGATCAGTCTTGGGAAGTCCAAGGAAATGGGGCCTCAGGTGACGGGGATGCATCTGGGCCTTGGACAAGGGAAGACTGGGAAGCCTGGCAGGCACGCTGGGACAGCAGAGGTTCTCAAGATGGAGGGAGCGACGGCGGCAACCATTCCGCCGACAGCAATGGGGCCTCGAACTGGTCTTGGGCCACTCAAAATTCTGGCAGCTGGGGCCGCTGGAACCGGACGTGGCGATCCCAAGGCGACTGGGGCCGCTGGCAGTGGATGCCAGCCGACAACGTCTCTACTTCGACCTCTGCGAGTACCAGCGGGACGGCGCCGATTACATGGAACAGTTCTTCATGGACGTGGTGGGACGGAGATGTGGGGCCTACAGCGGGTTCTACAAGTACCCCCGGGACTCCGCCGACTACGTGGACCGCGGCAGCTACTACGGCAAGTTCGTGGAATGGAGGGCCTGCGGCGACATGGGATGCGTCTACAGGGACTGTGCACCAGTCTTTTGGAGGGACAAAGGGGCCTACGGAACGGCTCATCGTCCCTACCTTCACCGGGGACACCGAGAATGGCGGCGACCTTGGAACATCGGCGCGGAGCTACCTGAGACAGGTGAATGCTTGGGAGAAAATGACCAAGTTGGCCCCAGACCAGCGTGCGCTGGTGCTATATCAGCACTTATCTGGTTCTGCTTGGGTGAACTCTGAGTCTTTGAATGTTGAGGATCTCGCCCATCCTGAAGGCGTGAGCCGTCTACGAGAATGGATTCGTCAGCACTACTTGGACGTGGAGGTCACTCAGGTGGGACGCTCTTTGAGTGACTTGTTCAGGAAGCTCCGCAGGCGTCCTCAACAGAGCTTCCGGGACTATGCCGCGGAGTTCAACCGCTTGTTGGCGAGAGTCATAGAGTGCGGTTGCGCTTTGCCAGACGTGGCCAATGCTTGGCTCTTCGTGGACAGGGCCAACCTCGACGAGGCCACGGAGGTCAGTTTGCTTGCGAGCGTAGGTAACAAGTACGCCCTCAAGGCCTTGCAGTCTGCGGCTATCGTCTTGGACAGGTCAATGCGAAAACCCTGGGAGAAGGCAGGCTTCCGTGGGAAGCCCCAGAGTGTCAACCAGACGGACGACCTGGATGGCGGCGAGGCTTCGGATGTTGAGCCCCCTCTTCACGATGACCCCGAATGCAACTCCGAAGAACTCTACCTCACTTACATGACAGCAAAGGCCCGCTACAAAGAGTCTGCCAAGGCACGGGGAACTGACTACAGAACCACTGAGTCCGACTCGGGTGGCATCCGGAAGGCTGCCGAGGCCAAAATCCAGTTGGCCAAAGCGAAGTCCCACTGCTCTGCTTGTGGGCAGAGGGGCCACTGGCACAGAGATGCTATTTGCCCCAAGTTCCCTGGCAATGGCAACCAAGGTTCCGGCGCCAAGGCACAGACGATCCACGTCACCAACGAGGTGTTTGAGCTCACCACGGGCACGCGCGACGGCCTCAAGGCGATCCTGGACTCCGCTTGCTCTAAGACTGTGGTTGGGACTGGGTGGCTTCAGAAGTACCTGGACTATGTCAAGGGAAGCGGCTACGATGTGGTCTTTGTTTACGAGAAGGAGAGCTTCAAGTTCGGGGCCGCCAGCCGGATCTACGAGTCTACCTATGCCGCGGTGATCCTCGTACCTCTTCTTGACCACCTCATCGCGATCAAAGCTTCGGTGATCCACGGGGACATCCCACTTCTTCTTTCGAGACCGGCTTTGGCACGACTCGGCCTCGTCTTGGACCTCGGAAGCAACGTTGCTACCTTCCGCGCACTCGACGGTGGCGAGGTCGAACTGGAGGAAACTACGAGTGGGCACCCTGCTGTTGTAGTTGATCACTCCAAGCTGGCTAAGCCGGACACTTCAAGGCTCCCTGACAGCTGGGAGCCACATGGAATCGCGATCCTTGGCCCTCGCGAGGTGTACATGGTTGCTTGCAGCGGGGGTGTTTCGGGCGATGATCAAGGGGATCCTGGTGAAGTCGATGCGGTGACGAAGATCTTTTACGACAAGAAGATAGATGGTGCTGTTAGGGACATGCTGACGGGTGACGTTCTTAACGAGGACCTCTTTGTGACATGGTGGGCCAACACAGAACTCGTAAACGATTTTTGGATTGAGCTACCCAACAAGCTAGTTCGTGTCCACATCACTCCTCGAAGAAAGTTCTTTGATCCTCGAAGATGGGAGACAAGCCAAACTCACCTACGTGATCTTTTGCTGCGTCAGCTTGGGAGTGTCAGGGAATCATGGGGCATCGGTTGCATGTCACGACGCATGTTGTCTACAGTGACTGAGCAGTGGGCTGTCAAAGATCTTGGAGAGTATCCAACATTGTGGGTCGGCCGCAGTGTGTTCAATCGAGCTCAATCTGTTGCCCCTTCGCGTCCCGTCGATCATGCTCCCAGCTCCCAGTATGGAAGATGACAAAGGCCCAGTTGATCGACGAGTGCAAGCGCCGGCAGCTGGCGTTCAACGAGGCTTGGACGTGTCCAGAACTCCGGACGATCCTCATCTCGGACCGGGAGTACGAGACCAAGAGGAAGGGAGTTGCGGTGCCGAAGGGCTTGTCGTCCATGAACCTGGACGAGCTGAAGGCCGAAGCGCACAAGATGGAGCTGACCGTGAAGTCCGGGGACACAAAGGGGAGTCTCATGCTACGCAGAGACGAAGCGGCCCCGGCGGATACCGTCATGACCATTGGTCGGTTCCGAGGGACAACGTTCGCCCAGATCCCAGACAACTACGGGGACTGGGCGTCGGAGGAAGAACGCCAGAATGGAACCAACATGCACAACGACCTGAAGCGGTTTGTGGTGTGGCGGCGACATCGCAGGTCCAAGGGACAGAACACTCCGGCTGCGGCGGCGAGCACCATGGAGCCGACCTACCTCGACGCGGAGACCTACGCGACAGTGCCCCCGCCGCCGATCAGCGAGACGGCTTCGTCGTCCTGGGCGATGGTGGCGGACTACGAGAGTGCGTTCTCCGAGGGGTACAACCCGCATGCGAGAGGCCGTCCGGCCTTGTGGAGGGAAGCCCAGACACCGGTGCCAGCTGCCAATCAGCCAAGACGAAGACCAAGGACTCGGAGGGCCCCGAGCGCATGGAGCAGGAGATCGACCCGGCCACGATGGACGAGATCCAGGCACTCGAAGCGCGCCTGGCCACCCTACGCGACAGGTGCGGTTTGGCACCGCGCCAGGGCTGAACCCTGGCGATGGCTATGAGGACCAAGGCGCCCCACCTGGGGCACACGACATGCACTACGAGCCCGGCGAGGATTTCAGATCGTGTTCTTCTGGTTCGGAAGACTCGAACCATGGGATCCTTGCTACGCGCCACGGAGGTTCTCGAGGTCCTAAGGCCCATCCTGGAGAAGACGCTGCCGGAGCTGCACTTCATGAACGGGATTTTACTTTCGGTACCGTCTCCAAGGTCCTTGCGAACTACGATCTCAAGCCCACAAACCATCGTCGTGCTGGATTGCATGGCGAAAGTGAGGAAGGGAAGCGGTGCAATCTTGGGTACTACGCCTACGGCACTTTCAAGGGAGTCGGCCGTCGCACGACCGAATGGCCCAAGTTGACCACCTACTTGAACGAGTTCCTCGCTGACTGCGTTGGGGAAAGCGGTCATGGGCAAGGCCGGGCCACGTGGGCGGCCCTTGCACTACTGGGCGACATACCTACTGGGATCCACACGGACCGGAACAACCTCAAGGGCAGCTTCAACTACCTGGTCAGTTTTGGCAGCGGCAATGGAGGAGGGGTCTGGATCCAGGAAAAGGGCGGCGGAACTTGGCGCCGCAGTGGAAATGGCCAAGAGATCGAGGGGCGCATTGTTGACGCCCACGAGCAAGGATGGGAGTTCGATCCACGGCTTGCCCATGCCACCGAGCCCTTCGACGGCGAGCGTTGGTTTCTTGCGGGATACACCCCGCGTTCTTTTCCGGAAGCCTCCAAGAGTGAAAGGAAAATCCTGAACGACCTCAAGTTCCCGGTGCCCACCAAGGCCGAGATCCGGGAGATCAAGAAGCGCGACGACTACGCGATCGACACCCCGGAGAAGGAGGTTGCCCACAAAGGAGGTTCAAGTTCGCGACCAAAACGGAGCGTTCGGAAGGGCATCCGCCAAACGGCCATGATGCTGTCTGTCTTGTTCACCACGGCCATTTCGACCATGTGCGGTGTTGTACGTGATGCACTACCTGCTCATGTCAGCCCTGAGACCGCCATTCTTGAAGTTGGTGGACTCTCTGCTACCTGCCGGCTTGCCGAGTACGACATCTGCGGCGACCACCTCGTGGAACCCCTGCTCCCTGAGGACGTGCTTTCCAACGACCACCCGGAGGACCTGGGCATTGGCTACATCGAGGCGGCGGTCATCCGTCACCGACCCGGGCAGCTCTGGATTCACATGCTACCCGAATGGGGCTGCGACGCGGTGTTCCGTGACTTGGTCGAGGCGGTCAGCTACCAACTCGGGAGGGGACAAGCAGTGGTGCTCGAGAGGGAGGTCCAAGAACCTCTCCTTTAAGAGAGCTTGGCCAATGGTTGGGAGGATGCGGGCTACGACGTGACCTACGATTTCACCGAGGACGGCCATCAGTACATCCGGTCGTCCAGGCCCAGTCAGAGGGGGAGATCCACTCTGTGTACGTCGGCGACAACGAAAGCGAGGAAGAGTTGCTCCCAGCACAAAGCGAAGAACGTGGAGCTGAAGATGAGGGCCCCCTACCACGAGGTGCCCGGGCAATCAGTTTTCCGCCCACCGTCTCCGAGGCGATAGCGACCAGTCTGCGGCGTCTACACCAGAACCTTGGACACCCTAGCACTGCCGATTTTGTTCGTCATCTACGCCTGGCTGGGGCATCCCGCGAAGTTCTGAAAGGGGCCAAGGGCCTAGAGTGCCAAGTTTGTCAAAGGAGCGAGCAGCCGGCTATTCCCAAACCGGCTAAGATTGCCCCCTGCTACCGATTCAACGAGATGGTTGGCACGGACTTGTTCTATGTCCACGACAGCGAAGGCCGGCGACACCAGCTCCTCTCCATCGTCGATTTCTCGTCTGCCTACCACATCGTTGTGCCAGTGCAGAAGAAAGACACCGTTACACTCGAGAAGGCGTTCTGTGAGAGTTGGGTTCAGATTTTTGGGGCTCCGACCACGGTTGCGGTCGATTTGGAGAACGGGTTGGAGAAGTCTCTAGCCCGTATTGGCGATTGGACGGGGACCCGCATTCGCAGTGCGGCCGGACAGGCCCACCACCAGGCAGGCTACACAGAGCGCCAAGGAGCTATCTGGAAGTCCCTTTTCGGCCGGATCTGCGAGGAACACTCTGTATGCCAAAGTGATTTCCACCTCGCTGTGAGCGCAGTCTCTTCTGCAAAGAACCAGCTGACACGGACGAGCGGTTTCAGTCCTTGCCAGCATGTGTTTGGATCGATGCCGGGGCTCCCAGAAGATCTTCTTGAGGGTCCTCACGCTGACCACCCGGAGCAGGAGGCGATCATCGACGACAAGCACGCCCGTGAGGTCGCACTTCGAACGGCCGCTCGGGCCGCCTACTTCCATGTCCAGACCGATGAGAGAGTTCGCCGCGCCCTTGCAGGGCGTGCCCGTGTTGAAAGCCGAACCCCAGAAACCGGGGAAAGGGTCTTCTACTTTCGCAAGACGAAGAACAACAAGAAGGGCTACTGGGTCGGACCCGGAACCGTCATCGGGCGAGAAGGCGCGAACCTATGGATCACCCGAGCCGGGAGATGTGTTCTATGTGCTCCAGAGCATGTTCGGCTTGCAACCGGCGAGGAACTTGGTCAGGCCTTCAGCATGAAGGTCGCGCAAGAAGACTTGGACAAGTTGTTGAATGCCGACTCAGATGAGCCGGGCGCCTACGATGAGGATCACGAGGACCAAGGGGACGAAGAGATGCTCAACGCCGGGGCTGCTGGTGTTGGCGAAATTGCGTATGACATGGAGCTGGACGGAGAAGAAGAACGACGTGGGCTACGACGTGACCTTGTTCGTGTACCTCCTCGTGTTCTGAAGCGACAGCGACGCAAGGGGCGCGGTGAAGAGGTGGCTGTTGACGGTGGGCCCCGCGAAGAGCCCAGTGATGTGAACATGATCAAGCGAGCCCGCACCCAGCGGTCCCGCGAAAAGCAGCTAGAGAAGGAGATCCCTTGGTCCCTCATCCCGGAGTTCATGAGGCCGAAGTTCCGGGAGAAGGAGATGGTCCAGTGGCGAGAACATGTGGACACTGGGGCCTTGGAAGCTCCCGTTTCGCCTACAGGGACAAGCACCTTGGGCGCCGGCGCGCCGACCCTACTGTGGAGTGGAAGCCTAAATCAAGGCTGGTCGTGGCTGGACACCTCGATCCAGACGTGGGCGTCGCCAACATCGAGGTCGACTCTCCCACGGTGTCGAGGGCATCCTTGATATCTTTGCTTCAAATATGTGCTTCCAAGCGTTGGAAGGCTGCTGCAGGAGATGTTCAAGCTGCTTTCTTACAAGGCGTTGAGCTCGGGCGTCAGTTGTGGATGGCACAGCCAAAGTCCGGGATTTCTGGACTGGATCCAAGACAGATCGCTCGGATCAGGAAAGGAGTCTTCGGCCTATCTGAGAGCCCGAGGATGTGGTACGATAGGCTTTCTAGCGTTCTACTTGGCGAGGTCTTCGACATCGGAGGAGTGCGACACCGCCTCGTGCCGAGCCCTTTGGACCCTTGCGTGATGATGCTCATCAAGGATGGCGAAGCTTCTGAGCCAGCAGGATACCTCGCCCTCCACGTGGACGACATTTTGGTGGTCGCCCCTACCGAGGTCAACCGCATGCTCCAAGGGAGGATCGGTGAACGACGATGGCGTGAGTATCACCCAGTTCGCAGAAGGGGACAGAACCAGCTACTGAAGAGCAGGCCATCGACAACCGATCATTGATCGGTGCCTTGAGCTGGCTGAGTAGCCAGAGTCGCCCAGACCTGACGCAGCTCCAACGGGCCCCTCTTACCGAGGATGTTCGATTCGTGAATCAGCTCTCGGCCCGGGCCAAGGAGTTCCGCGAGAACGGGATCTACCTGCGGCCTACCAAACTCGAGGACGCGGTGTTCCTCGTGTACCACGACGCGGCCTGGGCCAACGCCGAGCTCGAGGAGGCCGAGGACGGGTTCAAGCTCACGGCCGAGGAGATCGGTCGCTTCACAGTTGGGCCACTTGATCTTACTGGCCGACCGGGCTATCCTCGACGGGTCTTGTTGCCGAACGAGTTTGCTCGAGTGGAGGAGCCAGTCATGCAAGCGAGTGTGCCGTTCCACCTTTGGTGCGGAGACAATGGCCGCGGTGGAGGGACTTGAAGGAGGACAATACATGAGGGCCCTTCTGGCCTCACTCCTTCATGGACGGATCGTCAAGCACCATGAGATCCGTAAGCGGTGGCCAATCCTCTGCCTGTCCGACTGCAAGTCTCTTCACGACCACCTTCACAAGGCTGGAACACCAAGGCTCCCAGCAGACCGTCGTCTCGCAACGGACTTAGCGGCTCTACGTCAAGAGTTGCGGGCTGAACAGTGGACTGACCGTTTGCCGCTCCAATGGATCCCTACAGCGGTCCAGCTAGCCGATCCCCTGACAAAGCCCATGCGTACAGATGTGTGGTGGAAAACCCTCAAGGAGGGCATCACGCTACCTCTTAAAAGAGGACTTTTCTTGGGAAGAACAGAGAGATTTTAACCAGTGTAAGCCTGAAGTCGCTCGCACAGGTCGCTGGAGTGTTTCAGACGAGTTCGCCGAAGGCACATGTGATCGAGCCCTGCGAAAAGGCCTGTGCGCCTTTGCTTTCTTAGGGTTTTAGAAGGGTCCTTAGCTACCAGTGGCAGCTGTAGGCCCTCTTAGAAGCTGTACACCTCTAAATCCTAAACTAAACCTGTAAACCCTAAACCCTATAGACCCTAAATCCTAAACCCCTCAAACCTAAACCTTTATCTCATTCCGGCTTGGCCTGCAGCCGCAGCTTTTCCGCCTCGGAATCCACGAGCCGCTGCTCGGACTCTGACATCCTGGGAACCAGCACTGACGTAGTTTTCTAAATTAAGGTCTTTCAGATAAGGGTCCCGTACGATTTCGGGGACCCAAAAAGGGACGCTAATCTAGAGAACTACCCACATTCTGTGGCGACGACTACGACTACTCCTGCTGTTGCTGCTACCACTACTATCACGAACACTGCTACCACAGCACCACTACGACCACTACTCACTACCACTACGACCACCACCGCCACCACCACCACCACCACGACCGCTGGTACTACTACTCCTACTGGCAGTGCTAAAATCTAGTGCAAAGCTAGTGCTAGTTCCACTGCCACTACCGCCACCAGAAGCGACAACAAATCCAAGCTGTAAATACAAACTTCCTACTATGATTCCTTAAAACCCTCAGGCCTGAACCCCGGCCTTTCTGGCTTCCCTTAGTCTTCCTTGTAGCTTCTGCTATTCTCGCCCCTATGTTAACTCCTCCCGGGCCCAAACCCATTGTCCTCTGCTCCATGTCTTGGTTCTCCTTGCGGAGCTTCTTGAGCCTCAAATGGGATGTTGGTTTAGGGTTTAGGGGTTTAGGGTTTAGGGTTCAGGTCCAGGTTCTGAGTGTAATGTGCATGATACGGACGGATCCTATGCACCCATCCATCCCTTAGGGTTTTGAGTTTGAACGGTTCATTTAGGGTTTATGAATTCAGCCGGTGTCTATGTACTAGCAATTTCGCAAACAGCCAGTTCTCTGCACTGCTCAACATTGAGACTTCACCGCCTCTCACGACAGCAAGTGTCATCAGCACAATACAGAAAGCAATCAGCCCTTCATAAACGCCTTGACCCTAGAGTTTAGGGCGATGCCCCAAATCCTTAAACACTAAATCCAGCACCCTAATTCCTCAAACGCTACACCACAAATCCTTGAAGTGCTGAACTACGGAAGCCGAGCCACTGTGACAGAGCATCCTCCAATCGCAGGTTCAGGGCTTGGGGCACAGTTTTCAGTCGGGGTGTAGTGTAGGGTTTAAGCCAGTATGTTTTGAGGGCCCCAAGACTTAAATTAGGGTTACTGTCAGGATTACTATAATGTGGGCCATGGTAGTTTGAAGTATAGAGGGCCTTACGAAGTATAAGGGATATGTTACACCATGAGTGCATCAAGGAATCCAGCAGCACACAAAGAAAATGCAATTCACAGCAGTGGCTCTGTCATGGGCCTCTACCTAAAGCTTGAGGCCGCGCCAAGCGGATCTGCGGAAGAGTGACAAGTATTGCACGATGGGGGTTCATTGTTCTGAGTTTTGCGCGAGGCCTCAAATGTTCCGGCCACTCTCTGCAGTTACACCGTACCGCTCACCACATCTTCAAGCCACGTAGCCGGAATCGGAGAGGTATGCTCTACTAAAACTCTAACTTCTCCAGGAAAGCATCAAGACCTCAGGTCCCTTCTCGAATCACCCAAACCCGAGAGTCTGTCGCCCTTAAACCGGTATAATAAGTACTCACGTGTCTGGGTTTGGGGCTTATAGGGTTGCTACTCCTTGCCGGATTCCCTGGTTTAAACCAACTTAGGAGCTATATGGAGCTATAGTTTAGAAGCTGCCCCCACGCTGTAATAGTGCTATAATAGGAACATAATAGGGCCCTAATATAATCCTTATAGTCACTATTACAGGGTGGGGGGCAGCTTCTAAACTATAGCTATATAGAATATCAATACCCTAAGGCTCCAAAGTAGTTCCTTTTTTGGGTTCATATATAGAATCCTATAAGGTAATCCCCAAAAGGAACTACTATGGAGCCTCTGGGTAGGCCATAGGATAAAACACAGCACCCGTAAGAACAAGGAACCCCCGACTTGAGACCCGAAAACGCCCCCCAAGCCTATACTGAACTTAGAGCCCCAGCAAAAAATATAATTTTAGCTGTTTCTTAGGGATTATAATAACCAAACATTAAAAATTATTTCTAAGTACCCCTAAGAAGCCTCCCACCAGGAACCTGGGAGTTTCTGAAATCTCTGGGGGGGTAGGTACCTTCTTTGGGGGTCCTGATAATAAGGATCCTATTATTGAGGGTACTATATTAGGGGCCCCTATTTTTGGAAACCCTCCCACCAAACCCAATCCCCTCAAAAAAAAACTCCCAAAACCTGCGAAACAACCCCTATAGAACTCATTGTAAAGCCTAGAAACCCCAAACCCTCCAACAGGAGTCCCTCAACCGTAAACCCAGAAACCCTGAACCCCAAGCCCTAAACCAACCCCAAACTCATAAACCTTAAACTCAGAGAACCCCAAACTCATAAACCTTAAACTCAGAAGCCCCCAAACCAGAAAACGCAACGAGTCCTGGAGTTGCTGTTCAACCTGTGACTTGGCGGCAAGCGCTTGTTGGCCTCGTCGGGATTTGGGCTAGTGCTCACCTTTGGTTAGTAGGGAATGGATCAGTAGTAGTAGTAGTAGTAGTAGTAGTAGTAGTAGTAGTAGTAGTAGTAGTAGTAGTAGTAGTAGTAGTAGTAGTAGTAGTAGTTATAATTGTACCCCATTCCTCCATTCCCTACTAACCAAAGGTAAGAGTCTTGAGGATTCAGGGTTCACATAGGGATTTACGTCGTCGGGTTTATAGTGGTTTTGCAAGGGTTTACAACGGCTTCAGTTGCGATTCGTAAAACTCAGGGTTGTACAACGGCTCTATGGGGATTTGCGCTGAGGTTGAGGTTTTAGGTTGCGGCTTACAGTGTTCGGCGTTTGGCGTTTGGGCTTACGGTGTTCAGGCTTTGGGCTTTGGAGGTGTCAAACCCTAAACCCTAAACCCTAAACCCTCTTCGGGGCTCAGCTGAAGGATGTCTCGCTGCTGCAAACTCAGAGGGCCAAAGGGCACCTACCAAAACCTGGAAGAGGTTTGGAAACCAGGAGTTTCCGAAAATAGGGGACCCCAATATAGTACCCTAAATAGTAGGATCCTTCTTATCAGGACCCAATACTGCAGGTTTGCAAGCTTCAGCTACGCAATGTTGCTGCGATTCGGAGACAGGACCGTCATATCCCAGCTTGCACCCTCGACGGCCCGACCCCCTGCCACCTTCTGTAACCGTAGCCCACTAAGAAATCCGACATTACCAAATTCTACAATGACCATCTACCAAGAGGTTGGTTGGGAAGTCGCGCAAGTTTGGAACTGTACTACCTTGAAGGATCACGGCTTGATTTCGGAGCGTGGGAATGAGAGCCTAGGCCTAGGGTTTGGGTATGCCCGGCTTGCATCGGAAGTGGATGTACGGAGCTTCGGTGTTGGCCTGCTTCTCATCTTTGAAGGAACCCATGAGACAGCAAACAAGCACCTTTAGCCCGGATCTTACACCCCCCCCAAGCCTACACCTCAAGCCCTGTCCTCCGGAGTCACATGACAAAGGGGCCTTAATGATTAGAATAGTATACTGCCCTAAAACCTAAACCCCCAAACCCCTAAACCCCAGTTTACCATAATTACAGCAAGGAGGCTCCACCCTAAACCCTAAAGCTCTTCAGTGCTCATCTCTGCTTCCAAGGCGCTTCGCTCTTCCTCAGCCTTCTGAGCCTTGCCGGTTAATCGGAGGTACAGCAGAGCTCTGAATTTTATGGTTTCTTACAGGGTCCAAGTACTCCTGACTATAGGACCTTACGGCCCTTTTAGGTATCCAAAACCATGAGTAAGGACTACTTGGACCCTTAAGGTTTGAGGTTCATACTGCTGATGGACTTTACTGTACAGTGCTGATGATGCTGATGATAATGATGATGATTTCGATGATTACGCAGACCATAGCGGTGATCACCATTCACCATGTTGAGGGTTGAATCCCCCAGCTGTTCAGAAATTCCCCCGCAAACAGTCGAGCCTTCTTCTACTCAGAGAATCACGTTGTGGTAGCAACACGGTGCCCCACCCCGACACGGAAACCACCTTCTCATAAGAATGCGGCCTTCAACGACCAACTTTCACTTGTGCTCCCAACCCTCTCTCTTGAACCCTGAACCCAAACCCTAAACCCTAAACTCTCTCTCCTTGAACCCTGAACCCTTTACCCGAAACCTTTTCCCACCTCGCGCCACCGGTCCAGGGCGGCAGCCGAGGCGGCGGTGAGGCAGCGCTGGCGCAGGGCAGGCTCTGCTTGGGGGTCTTGGGGTTTGAGGTTGGGGTGTAAGGGTTTGAGGTTTCGTTTTTTTTTTGCTTTTTTTGAATGCCCTTTCTGAGTCTGCACTAGTACACTATAGGCATCTCAGCCCGTG